ATCAAGATGAGTGACGTGGGGCCTTCGTGCCTTTTTGGATGTGGTCCAGGTGATACTTCCTGCGTCTGGTTAGAAATCCTCCGCAAAATGGTACGTAACTGGCGATCTTGCTGTCACTTCCAATCCAGACTGTCCAGCTAACCATTACCCGTCGTTGTGTGCTTAGCTTGTGTCGGATGATGTACATAAGGCATACTGGTCCAATGTTGTTGGTGACATTCGCTCAAACATATTGCTCACATATGTTTATCATAATGCTTTTGGAAGACCCCATGCTCTTGGCTGTTTTTTCTAAAACCATCCGCATTTTTATAGTGAATTCCCACCCAGTCCCTTGTTTCACTCTCTACTACGGCCTCCTTCGTCCGTACATAAATGGCTTCCACCAAAGCTGTCTATGAAGATGTCGACGGCGAACATGCTGGTGTGACATCTATCGAATGACAATTATAGTGAATTCACCTAGAAAGCCCACTGATGTCCTTCAAATTATGATAAGCCCTCGAAAAATGTCATTTTATACGCTATTTTTCGCAGTGTCTTCTTTGAATTTGGCTACGACTGAAAGGCAGCGAACCAGATACAGAGGTCTTCCTAAGTGACTTTACTGACTTGTTCTTAGGGTACTTTATTACTTTGCTGTAGGAATATGCATCTGCCACCCTTAGTGTATAAGAAAGCCGAACATCAATGTGAACTACCACAATCGGGCTTTCGTTCTCGCCTTACGAATGGCCCGGTGTTTATTAGGCTTGTTGAACTCAACACGAAAATATTTGACGTGTTTCTTCCAATATCCATTCCCACCATAATTGATTCTCACTTTTTATTGCCAGATCTGCTAAGCTCAGGCAACTTGTTTTCTGCCTGCAAACACCTTACCATTGCCTATTAGCCCCAGTATCTGCACCTTACGGACACACCTTCGCCCATACTATGGCTTTAACCTTTTCAACGGTCTACTGGATTCCTCAAAATCTGAGACTCATCAAGCAGCTATCTCAGTTTACGCATATCAACATGCAGAATAATGTACAGTATGCAGTGTTTTCCCAATGTTGGCCCGGTACTTAAACAGGGTCTTGACTTCAACTGATATGCGAGCCTGGCATCACTTTGACGCTTTACAAATGAAAATTCGTCCTGTAAGTAAAGCCAATCTATGCTAAAAAAAAGCTTCTCGCTTGCACAAAGTCACCCATTCTCTTTGTTCCGTATTCAAGCAGCAAAAGCCCGCAAGCATACTGAGGTCCGCGCATCTGCACGGCAAACCTTAGCTTCCCATCCCATGCTCTGTTAGTCACTTATAAGGAAGTCGGTATTTTCCACACATCTATTTGCACTGCTTCAGCTGTGATAAATCATACTGGATTTGCTGACACTATGTTAAATCGGACTAAGCTTAGTTGTACCCACCTGTCCGTGCTTCTTCAGGTTTTTCGTCAAAACAACTCAACCCGATTGACGATAACTAGTGACATAGTAGCGATCGATCGTTACGCAGTGAACGCTTCGGTAGTGTTGGAATCCGATAGACAGACATGTTATGCTTGCAACATTAAGGAAAGTTCATGACTCCACAAAGTGCCATCCGGATCACTGAGTTGGGCAACAGGGACAAAAAACTTACACCGACAAACGTGAAGCAGTAACTCAGAATACAGGATGTTCTGAGAACAAAATAGAACGGCCCGAAAATAATTAAGAGAAGCCTTTTCTCTCTGCATTTGAAAGGCTCCCAAGAAGGAAAAAAACATACAATAAGCCTACACTACCCTATTCTTTGGTACCTAGTAGACATGGTCAGCTTCCGACGAATTACCGTTTATGTAAATTTCAATTGCGTCTTTTCAGGGGGCCTAGTCGCCAACCTCCTCTTGTAGGGACACGCCCATACCTAACAGACTATCTCATGATGACAAAACCTGTGTAGGTAGTAAGTGACCTGGTCATTACTCAAATAACTCTACCCAATGAAACCAACGACACACTAGGCCAAATAAAGCGTCTTTTCATACGCGCAGTTCTAACATCTTGATCTGCCTCCCGATATTCGTTTGAAAAATTAACAATTATCACATTTCTCTTAATACAAAGCATATCCACATTCCAAAGGATGCAGACCACGCAAAGCAGAAATTTATTTCCCCTTAAGTTAACGCGGTCCCTTGTATGCTTGGGAAGAAAACGATTTCAGTTAATGAATGTGAGCAACATCAAGTACTCAACTGATCCAACTGCTTTGTATTGTTTACTGAATGGTGCTCGGAATAAGAACCTTCTAGCCATGTCAAACACCGGACCATTTCCTTCATCCTAATTATTGCACGGTTCAAACAAACTGAGGATGGTCGGAGAACGCCATCTGCTAGGTTCATACTTATCTACCCGTTGATTTAATGGATAAGTGCAAGCTATCGGATATTCTGTTGACCACTGAACCTCTGGCTAAAATACGGCAGTGGAGGCCGCTGTGTCGGGACAGATAATTGACAGATGCAGCAAACGAAATTTCTTATCATCGACATTATCTGTGTCTTGCCTGACCCTTGAATCCTTTGATTGCCACCGGTTCGCGGTGTAATCAGCCCATTCAATATTGCTCTATCAGCGCTTCCACAAGATCACCAGGATTCGTGCACAGCTATGGCAGCGATGGACACGATTGAAGTCCTTCTAGAAGACACTTGACACAACTCAACAGTTCCTCTCTATTCACAATGAGACTCGAATGTTATTGAAATAAGAGTATGCATTTCAAGCTATGCTTTATTTAATTCAAACTACAGTAAAACGGGGCATGCATCTAGGCACAAAAGTGTATCAAAGTAGGATCAAGGGTTTTTTCTTAGAGGAACACACTACTCGCGAGATTGCTGAAAACTCCTCGACAGTCCCTACCAGTTGCGCTCTTCTTGAGGCTCGCAAAATGGGCACGGTCTCCGGGTTTCCATCAACCTTATTCAAGACACTGTTTCTCATAAATGAGCCGTACTAGATGCATTTTCCTGGCCAAGTAGTCTATGGATGCTGTCTTGATCAGCACCTCATGATACTGCCTTCAAGAATGTGGCTCTACTAAGGGTGATAGAAAAGTAGGTAGGGAGCTACCGGAAAAGATGCCGAGAAGTGTGTATGTAATAAGTTCTGTAGGATATATCCGCACTTTTCCATTTATACTTGCTATCTGTTTTCCTTAATATATTTCTCCCCATACTTGTTTGTGTGTTAATTATACGGGAAAATGTGACAGATGTGCAGACAAAAGTGAGTGACTCCCAAGGGAGTATGCCTTCAAAAGGGGTGCAATTTGGCCAGCATCGAGAATGCGTGCTGTTCGATGGAAAGCGCACGCAGTAAGCCATAGTTTTGTAGACTTTTTCGTGAGCTTGAGATAAACTGATATGACGAAAGATACGCTGTGGAGTTGTTCTAATTCACCCCATCATCAGCGCGTAGAACCACTAACAATCGATTTGTCGATCGGCATAATTGACCCTTGTAAAATAACGCAAGACATTCAGGAATAAACAAGTGAAAAGGTTAACGCATTTGCTGTGGATTTTGGTAGTTTGCCCATGATTTCTATGTTTGGCTGCTCCCTGCTCTCAGCTCCTGTGAAGGTCCAGTTTTCTTGTTCGAATTTGGTAAGCGCCACAGCCGAGCACACTCGCCAGGATTATTGAAAGCTATCACATCTCCAAAACTAGACGGAAAGCATTTCACCAGCAACTTCCCATAAGGTTGTACTAGCAGTGCACCGTAAGCTTGAAGCACTTTTCAGAACAATCCCACGTAATGCCGACTAGATGCAGCTTGCCGATTTACATGACGTCCTTCGGATAAAACGGACAAAGCGAGTTCCCAACACTAAATTCCTTCAAATCAACTGCAGTATAATGTAAACCCAGCCCCGATGGTAAGATCATTCGAAACTAGTGACCGCAACTCACATGGGAAAACTGCTCATCGGCGGTCGGCTGAAAAGTGGCCCGAAATTCTGCGACTGAGATATCCTTCAAAGGAGCTTGGAAAAATATACTTCTCATTGCGGAGAACTGACATTCAACAAAAGCATGAAGAACGGCTACGTCTTCAGACATGACAAGCTCTAAGATAAGATGTGTCGCTCAATAGCCCCAGTGCGTCTCTACCCATATAGGATCGCGCAATACGCTGACGCACTCGCGTTAATAGGATCGGCCTTGTGGATCACCACCACACTCATCAGCCTAACTGCTCAACATAAACATCTGAAACTGAAGAAGTTCGTAACACATCCCACTTAGTAGTAGCCTAACATACAGTCATTCTAAGAAACACACTGACCATATTGACGGTATTGTTAACAGTATATGGTCAGGAGCGTGTTGAGCTGAATAGACAGATGACGCCTGCAGCAAATGAAGGGAGGCGATTGGTGCCGGTGTCCATTGTTTAGGCTGACAGATGACTTGTGATAAACCTGTTGATGTTTATCCGTCAATCTTATTCCATCGTATCTGCACCCACGTCGAAAGCCTCAAACCAGCACTACTCTGCGCCCCATTCTAACCGCCTGCAGCTGTTCAGCAACATACAAACATCCAGTCGTTCTACCAATAAAGACCAACAAGTCGGGTTCGGATACCAGCCATTCGTACCACATACCACATAGATAAGCCTAGTAAAGTGTGTCACAAGTGAAAATGTGACTAAGAGTGTTTTCCGTCTTCCACCTTTGAAAAACTTAGGGTGCTAACTTCGCTCTCTATCCATAGGGTATGTGAATACTTGACTATGAAAGGCCATTTTTCCATTTGGTCACTATGGGAATCACAGAAGATTATTGGGCTCAAAAGAGGTCTCGTTTAAAAAATTTTCTGACGACTTCACGGAACAGTCGAAATAAGCTGTTCGTAAGAAGCAGAACTGCACATTAACAACTGTCGGTACAACAAATGATTTTTCACTACGACACCACACATCAAGCATTCACTCGGTAAACTGACTGGGCTTACCCATGTCTCTGTGATCTTCTGATCCAAAACGGATCGCAGCTTGTGCACTTCGCGTTCTAAATCCTGAATTCGCTGGTCCTTATTACTGATAGCCAGTTGAAGTCGTTCAACCACTGTGTGAAGTTGTGCGACCGTTAGCTCCGACTGGCCTGACTGCTGCTGACCAGACTTGTTCGCCTCCCCATTGACCAGTGCTGAATTGTTGCATTTGGCATGAGTGCAGGGGCATAGGGAATTCGTTTGATCCCCGTGGTGATCCGTAATGACGTAGCTGCTATCACAAGGACTTGAGAACTCGGTGACAGGGTTACCCTGTGGACGAGGAAATGCATGTGTAACGTAACAAGTTTTTCAAAACATTATCAATAGGCAAATGAGCTGCTATTTTTTTTAAAGAATTTGGTGATCCTAGGGGGCAAGCTTCCCAAGAACGACCGACGGGCTGGAATTATTAGGTTCTGTCGCTGAATGTCAGAATTGATAGCGGGCTCGTTTGTCTTAGTGCTACAACAAACAGCGTTAGTCGAATTTGTTTCCCTTCTGGGGTGACTGCTGAAACACAGGTGTCCAGGCCGTCCGAAATGCTTGGAGGTTTTAGGTTAGGAAGCGCAAACGGAACTGCTGTTGGATGACTAAATACCATGTATACACGAAATTTCTCCCCGAGGAGTTTTCGGAAGTCTCATAATTAGTCTAGCATGTAAAGAAAACATAATTCCATGTTTTGAATGCAGGGGCAGTCGAAGGACGAGGCAGCGTTGTGCAGCAGGATTCAGCATCTCTGGGTTTTTAATGAGAATCCCAATACTAATGGACCGGACATCCATTATTCACGATATACACTCAGAGAGAACAAAAGAGGTAAAACCGGCGGTGGGCAATAGGATAGTTTTCCAAAACTTCAAGAAAAAATACACCGCAATATCCCGAGTGTCATACCAACTGAAACTTCGGGAACCCTTTGTGCACCACATAAAACAGAGAACAGGATTCAATTGAGTCTCTCAACAACACTAGCGCAATTTGCAACACCAATCGCTTAATATTTGGTGTCCAACTGAAAAATGAGATTTAGCGATACTCGAAAGCTGCATATACTTTATCAGCCCCAAGAAGTGCAAAACCGGATGTGAGCTATCGAAAAGCTTTCAGCAACCTTATAAGTAGTGTGTTATGCCAAGAGGACATGCTAGTTCAGTTTAACCATAGTGGAGACAATCCATGATGCGGCTGCAAACATAGCTGTTAGCAATAAACTATTGCCTCATATTCGTCCACCAAAATTAGCGGACCGGACAGTCACCCGTAGCTGATAAAGTGCATTGTTTTCTACTGAAATTGTACGGGGAAAGGGAATTCACAGTAGTCAAAAGGCTTTGATAGTCTGAAATGTCACTTCTGTTCGTGAAACCAGACAGCAATTACTACATCCGGAGGTTACCGAGAATAAATAAGGAGCGCGGCACGCATAAGGTAGCCAACGGGGTTGAAACCGTTAGCCGTCAAATTTGGGAAGGTAAAGTGGACCGAAACTAGAAATCCAAGAAAAACACCCCGACATGCCACCGCGTTAGAAGTTCACGCTACTTGAAGCAACAGACTCTCAGGAAGTACCCAGTCAGGATGAAAACTGATGTACACGGTCGTAGGGCGGTCCATACGACCAGACAAAAGGTATCCTATCTTACTGTGTTTGAAAGGTCTGCGTGCAAGCCTTAAATGGTGTGTAATCACAACAGTACACGACCGTACAGCCTTGCTTCCATCCTGAAGCCCCACTGTTTACCCCTACGAGTCATTACTAGACTGTACAGGGAAAAACGCCGTCGTTGATAGTAACACAAAACATGGATAGTTAGTGTAGATGGACAAAGGCACACCCAACACAGGTAATTTTATGGTAACAATCTCCATGACACTTTAGTAGTAGAAGCCATTAGCGCAGAAGCCGGTTTGATGGGCGGCTTCGTTTGGTTGCCTCAGAAGGTGCACCACCGTACAGGTCAGATCATGTACGTAGCTACTAAGGAATTTCATATCACGCTTACACTGCGTAAAAGAAACTGCATTCTCGCCTTCAAGCTTGCCTCTTGTTGTCAACAAACGATGCCCCTCTACTGCATGAAAATCAGCTTTCAAGTGAAGAAGCACATAAGCGATGGATCATGACATCTACCATTCCTAGGGAAGAAGTTATCAGCCTAGTTATACAAACCTTCGACTTCTACTGAAACATCTACATACCTGGTGGATATTCCCCATGTCCTGCGAGGTAGTCCCAGGCTTGGGATGTAAGCTATGAGTACGAGTCTCCGCAACTTTGCTCCGGCTTTTGCTGTCAGATGTCAGGGTAGCTGAGCGTCCGAGAAGCTTCTTGATTAATCCATGTTTACTGTTTGTATTTTTTGCTGAGGTGTAGGTTTCGTTTTTCAAGGAGGAACTGGGAGCCAACCGAGGAATGCTCTTCTGGAGGTTGGAACTCGTGTGGACTGCACGTCCCACGAAAGCACCGCCGTCAGTCTTCACGGGCTTGGATGAGTGCGATTGCGTTTGCCTCAAGGACGCCGCTTTAACCAGTCGATCCTTGTCTGAACACCGATTGGTCGTCTGATCCATCATTGACCTTGGAGACACCAATCACATCCGTGTATCGTGGGTTCTGAAAACGGGACAAGAGTCGTTCAGCTGGTGCACGTGCGCACGCCGCTTCAACGGCGTGGACTTCGGCACAATTCAAATACACCTGTTCTGGGTGTCTGTGCCTCAGGGCTCGGGAAAAAAGCGTAAATAACTCGTGCGCACGGAATCATTGGTACGCGATCCCGATGCCTACGTTACACCGTTAGCCTCGAGACCAAATACCACTATTATCGTCGATATAAATAGCAACAGAAAGTATTGTGGTGCTCCTAAATCGGTTCACTCCGTCATAGCGATAAGCTTCTAAATAGGGAAAATTTCTTTAGAACGAGAAATTCAGTCACTTAACCTATATAAATATTAACTTCCTAAGCACCGCCATCACTAAGTTGGTGACGCTTGGAAAACTTGAAACTGTGAGTTGACACGAAGATGACGGACAGCCCTAAAAATGTTAGTACTAAAATATATGCACTGAAAGCAAAGGTGTGTAGGAATTTTGCATTCGATTATGCTATCTGGATTCCTGTTTTTTTTCCTAAATATGTGCTGCATAGGTGCTTGTTTCTTCCATTTTTTCCACTGAGTTAGCAATGCTATATTGCTCGTTAAGTGAACGCAACCATCTCTTCTGTTGTGAACTTCTGTGCGGGAGTAGCACTCTCTTAAGGATTAGTTTTGTGCCCAGAAAATTCTGGGTTCGTCAGTGAACTGTAGTGGTAGATTTCACGGTGTTCAGCAACCCGAGTGTCTCAGCTCTAGTCATTCGCTGACCTTGTAGTCTGGACTATTCCTACGGCTTTGAAATGTTTGAATATGTCGATGGTGACCATGAATTCCAGGAAATGAAAATCGACAGTGTTAAAACCTGAAATCACGACTTTCTTGCCTTACATTGATGCATTCTTTCTACATAAGTCCTCCATATTCTTGGAAAACAGTTCGAAAGTGACCACACCACTCTTGTAATTCCATTTATGCGAATGTACACCCTTCGCTGCAAAAATTGGCCACTTTTCGAATGAGATTTGAATCATTTTGCGATCTTTTGTCTGAGCTGGTCTCTTTGCAGCGGGTTTTCTCAGACTTTCTAACACCTGTCAATATGTACCCACATTTTGCACACAAAAACTGGTTCATTGCACGCTTTATTCCATTGTTCAGTCCCACTGAGAGGTAGCTTATTCCATTCACAAAACAATGCACGCACGATTGATAAGTACTCTACTCCCAAGAAAACGGGAAATGGACATGAATGAATGGATCACCCACTTGGTTTAACACTAAGATGACGGTAAAGTCATTTGATGTAGCTGAAATGTCTAACCGCTTCTGACTCATAAACCATAAGTCAGAATCTAATGAAATTTCTTAACCTTCATTATGAACGACATGTTGTGTTTGCTGACCTTGGCAATTGACAAAGACATCTATCTATCATACATAAACTATCTCAATTTCCCCTATTGGACAACGTCTTTCAGACCCTCACTTATGACGCCATTCGCTCCTACGGTTTCCCAAGTGGAAGGTGTAAAATATAAAGTTGTATCACGTGCTTAATTCCCCCAGTTAATGCGATACCCATGTCTTGCCTCAACGCGGATACAGTTGAATCAGCTATACCGCTAGACGAACCGCATGTAACAGCCCCTGATTGCATCCCGATCGATATTCATGGAGTCGTTATCAGCGCATTTTCTAGGCTGCATAGAAGTAAGGAATTACTAATCGCAACAAATACCAGTCAGGAATTCACCGGCTGATTCGCCTAATAATTACGGGACAGTCAAACACGTCGCTAAAAACTATTCTGACTGACTATTAAAGTTTCCAAATCACATTACAAAGACATATCTGATGCTTAATTGACAGGTGATCTAGTTTGATGTAAAGTCTTAGATTCTGTAGGTCGACAGGTTATTTCGTGGGTCGGCGTGTTCTTGTTAGTAATTTGCCCAGAATAAGCTTCTGTTCATATGGGACACGAAAACTCAAGGAAAATGAAAGGATTTCTTCAAGATTTCCAAAGCAGAATGTGTAGCACTAGATGGGGGTGAAGCCTCTCGCTACAGTTAATGTGAGACACCCGAATCTACCCAGAAGAACTAGGCACTGTGCTTATACAAACCAGCTTATGTAGTTCAAACAACTCGGATAATTGCCAGGATCGTCCCTCGGTAAGGATGTCATGCAGAAGTGATTGGCGTGGAGCTATAACCCGTAAGATCATCCAGCGTATGCAGTAAATGGGTGTTTAATGGAGGTGATCCGATTCCAACCGATCCGATTCCCACTCTAAGTATGCGGCTTTATCCTAAGCTTACTGCCCTGAAATACCAGAACAGTGTTCTGTGCGCACGAAACTCTAGTGAATGGAATACACTCAGGCTCTCTAGACGTGATGCTGATAGGTTCCGCGCTCTAACTGATTTGAAAAAAGTCGCTAACCATATTTTTGATATCCTCTTTCTACTTTCTAAGGGCACTCATAGTTCCATGAAAGCTGCTCCATTTATCTCAACTTCTAATCGAAAGTTTTATAAATAAGCTAAGTTTAAGAATCTGCTTTGAATGCGTTTCGTGCATCTCGCCCCTCTCGCTTTTCTAGGTTTCCTTTTGGTGACAATCGTTCGTCCCCATGCTGCTGCTTTACGATTCGGTGATACCAACAAGCTACCTTCATTTAAATTGACCAACTTTTGTTTAACAATAGGGAAACTCAGGAGAATTCGTCTTTGTTGACGTTTCAGGAAAAAATGAACCAGTAATCAAACAATGGCTTATTACAAAGCATTATTGCAATGTTTCACGATCATCATTCACTTCTGAGCAGTCTGATAAAAAGAAATCTGCATCGAAATCATCATGTCAGAATGGATTTAATTTTCGGAAAAAAAGCCAAATACTTTCCCCCCTGTTAGTTTCACATTTGGCGTAATGGCATATAGTACTGCTGTAAAGTGCGAGGTGTATCCGGTCGAATGATTTAAAGCACCGTCCAGTGGAATGGAACGAAATGGAATTATGGAACGGTTTTATAGTGCTTTTCACTTTTGTTTGGTATCCATTCAATGTGGGAGAGTCTTGAATTTGTTTACTTTTCAAAAACTGAGCAAATAAGCCCTTCACCTTCGTACCTGCTAACTTGTAACCGCTAAGTTCTTGTTTGTTTACGAACGCCTCTCCAGTTCCGGGTGCTTTTCCTTCCATTGATGTCGGAAGAGAAGACAAATTTGATATTCACTGCTTTCCAACCCTCCACGAACTCCAGATGTCGTTATTTCCTAGACAGATTCACACGTTATTTATCACACTGTCCAAAGTGACAAGACCATGATGGGAACGTCAGAATTGCCACACTACAAAGGTGTTCTTGTCACTGTTTTATATCAGCAGTGTAAACTGAACATTTTACGGAAAATATTTCTGAACAGCTTTGACTTTGGCCAGAAATCTATAGGTTTTGATCTAACGCATTGGCTAACTGGCAAGTGGTAACGCCAGTCTACACGAGCGATCGAGCTTCAGTTGTGATTCGTGCATAGAAACATCATGTTTTCACGCTATATGTAGAGAAAAGTCTCAGCAAACTCCGCTAAACCCTTCAGAAATTCGTCGCACAGAGCAACAAGGCAGTTGGTAATTCAATTAGTGTCCGAGACGTCGGATTTGAATCGGAACTGGTCCTTCAGCTAACCGCGCAAGTGTACACAGAATCGAGACTCAAGATCAACGTCTTCATCTATACACAGACCTCAAATTAAGCGACTGTTGGAAGATTCAGAAATAACTGATTTCAAGATTTTGATAAGGAACTCAAGACCATGCGGAATATTCCTGTTTACACTACATCGCAATTCAGTTCGTTCTTGTCTCACAGCACAGCTTTTCATGAACTCTATCAAATACTTTGTCCATAGGGACTTAGTTATGTTGAACTGGTCGTCATAAGTTCCAGAAGAATGATTCTAAGATGGAGGACTGACGAAAACCGTGTTAAATGCTTTGCCATCTCAGTATTAGGAAACACCAGGTTGGACAGCATTGCTCCGGTTTGGTTTGGGCTTAGTTCAGAGAATGTATAGCATGGATGCTTACTACTCTAGATTGTGGTGTACAGTTTTCCGGTCAGTGGCGCACTCATGTAACATCGCTATTACGTACTCTGTGTTGTCCTTATCTAGAATTATGAGTTTGGTGTTCGCGAAGTTTTGACGTTTGACAGTCGGGTAGCTATCATTGAAGATGAGGAGTGAAGCTGAGATCGAAGAAGGCAGTCAGATATTAGGTAGACATTTGGCTTCACCTCATTCAGCGTGGGAACTAGATGAACCAACAGGGTTGTGCACAACCTAGCCTGCCTTACGGTGTCCCCTTTCAGATTCTCATTAAAATTTAGAGAGGCCCCCGAAGAAGAGGTCAATATCACATACTTGGAAACATCACAAACGAGAGATTCAGCTGGGGTCCAGGTGAGTACCTCGTAAAACCAAATTAGTGTGCAAATGAGTATGTTTCGCTAATTTCGTGCAATTTGGTTTCAAGTAGAACATAAGGTTAACAGAAACTCCGGAGCTGCATCTACCTGATGAGCCTCAAGATAGGCGAAGCCGGTCGTGGGTTATCGTAGAAGTTTCAGTAGCCATATGAGTAGTGAATATACACTTATTTTTTTTGGCGTTTGACTTGACGTTTCCCGGCAACTGAATGTGCTGCACCAGACCGCCTCATGTTTCAGTCGCTACGATATTCGAGATATCGCGATACATATATATTTTTGTAATACACTGCTCATAAGGTTGCTGAAAACTCCTCGACAGGTGAGTCTCTCAAAAGAACAAATTAGTTTGCAAATGATTGTCTATTCACTAATTTCGTGCAATTAGGTTTCAAGTAGATCATAAGGTTGACGAAAACTCGGGAACTGCGCCTTCCTGATGAACCCCAAGAAGGGCGAAACCAGTCGTGGGCTGTCGAGGAGTTTTCAGCAACCTTGTGAGTAGTGTATTACAAAAATACCTATGAGTAGTGCATTACGAATATACTTGTATCGTGATATCTCAAATATCGTAGCAACAACCGTAGCATCAACAATCCACAGTTGGGATTTGATGAACTTGTTATCTTACCTGAACACCTTTTTCATGTTTCATTCGTGTTTTAGTTTTACTTTACTTTTGACTTTCTAATACCTCGTTAGTGTGAATGGGCAATCTAAGCAACTTTAAATGATCCACTTGACCATACACCGTGGTAGTAATAAAACCCGACATTCATTAGATTACACGCAGCTGATTGTGTAATCCAATATGTCTATTGTTATTCTGTGAGCATAAGCTTGCTTTCTGCCATGATACTCACACGGGAACCTTTACCTGATATTGCTGTACGGGCGAGGCTAACCGAGTATACTGGTTCATTTAAGCCACCACAAAGATTGTTTCTTATCTCATCAGAAGTGCTCATAAAAACGAGGAAAACGGACGTACATATGTTCGGTGTGATGGTTGTCTTGGCACTGTTCTATTTATTTCCACAGCGTGGAACACTAAATTTTAGGGAAGCTGCGGATTAGAAGACCGTAATCCAGGATTAACAATGATGTGATTCCATTCGGATATTCATTGAGGATAGAGAGAACAGAGAGGTTTCAACGTTTTTGTATCAATCCACAGAGAGAAGAACTCGCAATTTGACTGTTTTCAAGTGACAACTTTTGGAATACAATCAACTTCTGATGCGGACAATCGGTCCCGTCGACTGAATACGCAAGTGTCTTTGTGCTTTGGCCCAATTAGGTCGACTTTCGGCCCAGAATGAGACTGTTCTGAGTGCTGATGGATATGTTTCAAAGTTCGCTGTTTATTTTTCTTTCTTACGTCAAAATCTGCAAGCATGCAGTCCATAAGCTGGTGCTTGTAGTTTGGTGAAAACTCGTAAATTTCGTTCCTCGTAAGTGAACTTTGTTCCAGCCGACTTGAAAATATATGAACACTGGTAGGCAGGTTGACGCACATGTTCTAGTTAGTCCACCTGCCGTCTGTTTTTAACCTGACTTGTGAGGAACAATGTTTATTGGACGTACTCAAACCTGATAACATAAACGATGTTTACACTGTCGTGTCAGTGAATCTGTTGCAACGTTTGACTCAGCACAGATATCAGTAATGAGATCGCCCTTAGGGTTGGTCCGTATACGTCATGCATACCTGACAATCGGAAGAAGAATTACCAAACCTAGGAAAAAGAGTTCACGTATGCGTGATGCCGGACTGCGTTAAGCAGGAGAAGTGTCCAAGTGCTCTAAATAGTCTTGTGGTGGTAAGCACCTTATAAGAGGCGTTGTGGACGATTTTGTTTGGAAATTCATAATACCTCGTGACTCTTCTTGAATCTCATCGAAAGTAAAGTCTTGAATGTACTACTATCCGAATAAGCTGTGAAAACCGAAACCAAGAGCTCATAGTGGTTAATTGGGAACTCCAATCACGCCCAATCATCGAGGAACTAATAAAACCTATGTATCCCACAGAGTTTCTGGAAGCTCAGATTTTTTCTGTAATGCATATGCATGCAAGATGAAACTCATATAGGTACATATGTACGCCATTACCAGCAAACTCAGGTGCGCCAGTCACTGCCGTCTTCATGGATGTAGGCCCGATGACGGGGCATATCATCGCTTAGAAACATGGCTCAAGTCACGCGCTCAGTTCAACACATGCATTTGAGATTTTGGGTTCAATGCATAGGCTCCCCTCCAAATTTCTACAAAATACGGTAGACTGTCATTCCTGAATTTACGCATCAATTATATCAACCTCTTCCATCAGTACACAGCTATCCAGCCCTACCTCCCCAGGTCATCGGCAATCTGAACTGTGGCAGCTATAACTACCGTACAACATACATGCTGTTTTCACAGCTAAAGATGATGGTAATGCTGGTGGCGTGTGCATTTTTCTCATTAAGTTAAACCAACCTTTCTTTTTTTCAAATGCCTGCTAAAACCATCCGAATGATTGAGTAACTGCTGTTCATAAACTAGTAAATGTTTATGGAATGATGATATAAGTTTCACTCTTCACGATAGAATAGAACATTGAATCAGAAATATGCTTGCCGCCCTCTTACCCATAGACGTAGTATTAGCTGCTTCAGCATCGCCCGTGCGACACAGCACATAAAACCAAAAAACTTACCATATAAACTATCAAAAGAATGTGTTAAAAATAGTAAGTTGCAAGCTTTTCGATAAGAGAAGAGTTTTAAAAACAACGGACATCCAGACATTCCACACTTCTTTAGGCGGGCGGTGTTCAGAGTAATTCGTAGCACCAGTGGGTAAACCTACACAGGCATGATAGTCACGTGAGATACCATCGATCAATCAAGACCGCGTGCGTCATTTGTCGGTTGGAGACACACACACATGAGAGAACCCGCTCAACAAACACTTACAAATGACGCTTGATCGGGACACAAAACCTGTGCACTGTGCTTGAGTCTAGACTATTTTGGCAAGGGTTGGGAATGTGGAAAACAAGACTCAGGGCCGAGTTTGCTCCTACTTGACCTCCGGAAATATTTGCAAGCATCGTAATGAGGAAGGAATGCGGCCAGCTCATCCACTAATACTAACAGGAAAACCTGACTGCTTCTAAGGAAAGGCGAAGAAAGAATTCTCAGTGGATGACGAATAACATCAGATCGATGAAAGATGTGTGATCTGCAGATTCATACATAACTTCAAAATGAAAAAACTGCGTGGCGAATGGTAAAAACGGCCTATTGAGCAAATCACAAACGATGGCCATGTTCCACTCACCTAATCCAGAGAGTGTTGAGAACTAACATGGGCAGTACTACCAAGAATGAATGCAATATTTCACAGGAGTTTCTGGCATCGCAGCGTAAGCGAGAGAAAAGCCAGTGATGTATGAGTTTAAAGATATAGAGGAACTATCCACAGGCATAGAAGAGTCACTATTTGGAAGAAAAATTATAGTTTACTTTAAAAGGACGTTGGCTGTTCGATGCATAACCGGTAGAGTTCAGAAATTGGGTCCTTACTTTGGTAAAAAGAGCTAACCCACAATATCAGAACATTTCATGAGATGGTTGGCAGTTCTGGAAAAGTTCCACCTGTTTCCATCAGTCACTGTTCTCACACAAAGAAGTTGGCAAAGATTCCGAACAGTGGCAATTATAACGACAACTATGGCTCGGCGGCCTGAGCGATAGCCTGAGCGAAACTAACTCAGACACGACTGTCAAAGCGTGAGTTCTGAAGATTTAGCGATATACTTCCACACACCCCTCTTTGTGACACAGTGTTGGTTGATGCGGCCTGATAGCAAGTGACTATGTGAGACTAACTCAAACGCTCGCTTGAAGGTCAGTTACTTCTGACTTTCAACCGAGATCGAGGCATCACAAAACAAATGAAGCACTTAAGTAGAACAAAACAAAGTGGAATTTGCAGGTAAAGGGGAGGAGTCATTACATTACGGTCTGTTTGGACGAGTGGCGAGGGATCACGTGAGAAGAGCACGAAAACCGCGGTACCTGGACGAACGTTTTCTGAGTGCGTGAACTGGGGTTGTGTGCGCGAGTCGAAATCGCCTCATCTGTGGCCACAAATCCAAACTGAACGGATCTTGACAGATAACTAGGCTTCTGGTACAGTATTTGAAAAATGATGTTAGGATCAATCGCAACCCGTGTCTGTGCGCTCAGAAAGCGTGGTACGTGCATCGAGACTTTCACGGTCTGCTCACGTGACTGCTGGCCACTCAGGCCAATAGATCTTGATATAACAGTTTTCACCCTTTTACCCGCCAACCTTTCCCGGTTTTCGGTTCTAAACACCCTGAATCGAATGCACCATACGAGTACCATTACACCATAACACCAAACACCTAGGACCTGTTATTCTGAGACTCAATGGACTACCTAAATAACACAGATCAGACATCCGCTCACG